GGTTCAAAAATCCGCGGTCATATGCGCTACATAAATTTTCTTGTCCCCACTGCTGCCGTGGTTAATACGGAGCAAGGGGCCACATCTCTAGCGCCCTGTAATTAAGGCCGTTTTTCAATACTCGACTTCGGCGCCGTCTCAGGCTTCAACTGAAGCTGTAAGTGCAGTAATTAGTTTGATAGTGCCACAAAACATCAAATAAGATGCAAGAGAGCCAGAAATTACAGTAATCTAATTTAATTTAAACGCTTCAGGCCCACAATCGGGGATTGGTTTTTGGAACGAAGCCTAAGACGCAGCCCAAGTCGAGTATTGGAAAAGGGCCTAAGAGTGATACCACCAACGAGCGAGTTGTGGACTGGTCTCTGTCCCTATCCGGTTCGTAAGTGACTTTGTCACGTATAAAGCGGACGCGTCACAATTTGCAGGCTCTCATTGGACGGTCGTTGAAGTTGCGCATTAACTTCCGGTTCCATGGTTCCATGTAAACGGTGATCTGTGCGAGTAGGGTGCAGACCACTAATTCAAGTGAGAATTTCTGGCCAGTTTATTAGCGTTAAAAGTGCCCCAGTACAGTATCTTTTAAAAAAGGAGATTGTTTGGCCCCCAAAATGGTGAGATTGTGTAAATCGTTGCGGGGATCAACTCCCTCGGTCTTTGAGCTTTCATATGAGGGCAGAAGGGTTAAAAACTACGGTTGAAAAATGGTCCTAAGTGCCCCCGAAAGTTGAGGGTTGCCACTTGAAAAATGGCTGCAATCAGACTTCGGAAAAATCACTTTTTGGGGGTAATTTTGTTTTGTAGGAATAATTAAAAATGTAATTGGTTAACCTACACAAAAAAAATTGAAAAGAAATTAAAAGATTAGTGACTAGGCAAGAATTTCATTGTGTTTCAGAAATCTCAGGGATGTTAACGTTGGCGTGCATGTTATTGGGCCCTGAACAGTGCTGATTTTACACTGTTTTCAATGGGGCGTGAATTAGTGTTCGATCCAGTTACTCTAAATGCAGTCATAGACCTGGAGGAAAAAAAAACAACAACAATAACAACTCCTCCAGGTCTGTGGTGCAGTTCATGTGCAAAGGTTCTGGTTTAACCTGAAGTGAAAGATTTTATTGTACACGGAACAGTAGCCAGCTGGCGCTCTTTGTTTCTCCACATCAAACAGTCAGGTGCAAAGCGCCCATATCACAGAACTATGTGTGCGATTAGGGTGCCCTGCCGCAAATTGGCCAGAAATATGTCCGCCTAGGTCATTGCTAACAGTTATACACTCAAATTATTCTATGTTAGAGAGTTCTGAGAGCCATGGAATTGGGGGATTGAAGAAATATGGCACGGAACCTCTGACCCGGACTCCAGGCATCCAATTCTGAGCAATTTGGATGCAATCAGGCCCAAAAGTGGTACTATTTAGCCGTGTTCCAGAGGGATGCATTTGAAGTGGCCATGTTTTCCAGGCTATGAAATATATCTTTCATTTTAGGGGTGGTCTGCTTTGGGTGAGAATTTCTCCAACATTCATCGGTCAACCAACTAAAAATTGAAAGGAGAAGAAAAAGGGGACATCTCGAACATCATTTTGCTGTCCAGCTTGGACACCTGAGAGACTTGTATTTTTTTTATAATTTTGAAATAAAAGGATTTAGCATTGGTGTCTAAAAGAATTTATTTTGGGAGTGCACGACCACACGTATGAAGCGTGTATGCCTCGAATCACATGGGAATAAACGAAAAATAGCGCCATCCTGCGGCTCAAATAATTCGTGTACATGTAGTACGGTAGTTCGTAAAAACCATCTAGTCGGGCTGAAAATTTATTTCAGGGGCACAACTGGGCTTTTCGTACGGAAGCGTGTATTTATTTATGAACACGGGTCGACACTCGGGTTCACAATGAACGTATATAAGTAGGGTACTACCTATGCCAAAAATTTCAGGTATTTTATTCGTTGCATTTGTAAAAGTGTTTTTAAATTAATTAACTACTCTCCTGACGACGGACAGAGCATACTGTCCGAAACGTTGCGTACCACCAGTTCTTTTCAACATCTCAGATACTCACAACAAATATGTATCCATGGTGCTATCTGGTTTACTTGCTACCTCCACCATGAAAAGCTTTAAATCTCATCCAAACGACTGTTTTTGTCCTCCATAATATAAGTTCGACAAATTAATACATTTTGATTGTTGGAAGTTTGGGGAGGGGTTCGTACTGGAAACCAAGCTTTGTTGAAATGTAACATCTCCTTTTGTTCCAAGCATTCTTAGACCAAATGTCACTGCATTCCACCCGAAGGATACTTTTGAAAACAATGACACGCTTAATAGGACTTATACAACTACTGAAATGTTTGCTGCGGCGGGATTTAAATCCCAAGAGGCAAGATCTTATTCCACGCCGCAGCGAGATACATTCAACGATTTTAACTCGCCCTAGCGAGATGGGGAAATAGAAACTCAAAAAGGTTTTGTAAGTGGTCCTTGTAAGCTTTGCTACAGAGGCGTATAAAGGCTACTTGAAAAAAAATCGAGTTCGCCGCGGCTGTGAGTTAAATCATTGAATGAGTATCTCGCCACAGCGAGTTATACGATCTTGCCTCGGCGTGAAATTGAAATCCCGATGTTTCAAGTACATCAGTAATTTCATAGAGTCTTATTTAGCATGTCATCGTATTCGTGTGTAATCAGGGTGCAGTGAAACTGGGTTTCAGATTGCTTTAAACAAAGTTTGATTCAACCAAGCTTGATTTCCAGCACAAAAGAAAACAAAGAAATCTCTTTTGGGGGTGTGAATTCCCATATTCAGAAGTGCAAGGCAGACTACTTTGACTCCTTTGTAGATTGCCTTTTCATTTTATACTTATACCGTGAGATTAAAAGAAAAGAAAATAGCCAAAGAAATGGAAATTAGAAATTATTTGCTTGAGAAAAAAAGGAAAATTGAACCTTTTCCAGCAGTTAAATGTTATTGTTTTAACTAGACGGTTTGCCCCCCTCCAACCTCCCGAAACAAATTCTGGCGACGCCCATGCATATTTGTAGCCAATATGTTTTGCCATTTCGGACCAAACCTCGATGTTGATATCATTCAACGTTAACATCTGCTATAATTTAGGGGATTTCAGCAGGCAAAAAGAAAAATGAAGTGAAGGTGAAAAGAAAACTAGCACATGCACACTTTTTCATTACTTGAATTGAAATCCCCAGGCTTTTTGACCTCACATCCGTGCGATCACTTGTCACAGACCACCCACACAGTGCAGGGCGCTGGGAAGGGCAAATACGTAACATATATTTTGTCGAGAACGTATTGGATGGAGTCTATAATAATTAACATCTGAACACGGGTCGACACTTCTGGCTCGCGGTGTGTATGACACGTGTGCACTTATACTTATTTTGTTTGAGCGTCCAAAGCTATGAGGTATCTCATGCGTTGTGTTTGTAAAAGTACCTTTTTTTAATCTCTCATTTTAAGTCCTACTAAATTAATAAATTTTGACCGATGGAAATTCAATAACAACTTTCAAGTCCGCTTGCTTGTGTTTGGCACTAGGAAAATGTGGGAATGAACAGTTTACCCCTCATCTGAATGTGGAAATTCACACCACAAAATGAAATTTCATTGTCTTTATGTTGGAAAACAAGCTTTGTTGAAATGTAACATCTAAAACCAAATCTCGATGCATTTCATCCATTTGAAAACAGTGCGCTGAAAGGACTTTTTAAACTACATATTTAAATATTCGATGCGGCGGGATATCAATTTGATGCAGCGGCAAGATTTTATAACTCGCCGCAGCGAGATACAAACTCGCCGCGGTGAGACAGTAAGTCGCCGCGGGGAGATCAACTTGCCGCGGCGAGATAGTATCTCTAACTTTTTTCTTTTTTTGGCAAGTGGCCCTTATACGCTTCCGTACTTCAGTAAAGATATAAAGGAAATTTAGTTATTATCAAAATGTCTGGGTTGGACACTTTTTTTTAGGCAATTCTTACTGGCCTTAAATGGCACTATCGCCTTTGTATCGAGTACCATTTGCCTCCTCGTGTGTACGAATTACCATGGACTCCTACAGAGAGCGCCGCAGAGACCCTCGCATAAAGTAAGGCAGGCCGGGCCTTTGTTCGAAGAATATAGTTCATGTGTTGTCCAAAGGCCAAACTTCACAATTCGATGTGGTAGATATCATAAAAGTGAAAGTTACGTCCATCTCATCAAAACAAGTGGATTATTCACCATTTTCACCAATGCATTGGCTTACTGGGAAAAATATTAAACCCTTCGCATTATCTGTCGACATAACATACCTGAAACACTGTTTCCCAGACCAAGCAAGACAATAGAAATTTCAGTTTGCACATTTCACACAAATGAATATTGAGTTAACCCCCCCCCCTTTAAATTTCATTCGGACCTTGCTTAAATGATGTCACAGTGCCTTAATCTGAAGTGTTACAAATGGGTTTTGACATGCGATTTTTAAACAACAGTGCACGGTGAAGTATGACAGAAGTAGAAGCCGTCAATGTATTATTAATTTGAAAGTATAGTTTGCTCCTTTTTATGGCAAACACATGGTTTAGGGTCATACATTTCACAATTGGGTAAAATTGATCATAGGTTGGTTTCAGTGTTCCTTTTTTGCTTGGACACCATGCACACAAAAATGTTATTTCCTGAAATGGTTTGTCTAGTAAACCTTCTCATTCCAGCCACCAAAAAAGCATGCATGATAGTAATGAGCGATTCGACCTGTCGGAGTTTATTTGTACTAATCTCTAATACGACCTAATGATTAAACAAGGGACTTGTGCAAGCCTAGTGTACTTGTACTTTGTCCAGCCAAGATCCGCTTCCTGTATACTGTATCCTGTGTTGCGTGAAAGAAATTTGGGGAAAACCCCATTGACTACTGAAAAGTATGACTCGTACAACCCATTTCAAAGAAAACCGAACAATTACATGTAATCTTATTTAGGTCTGACACGTTGAGGCCCCTGACACCGGAAATACATGCCAGTAATACATACTCGTAAAATGCTTGGGCACTTCACACGTCACACAGACAACTTAGATCACCCGCTTAAACTCAGCAGTAAATGTGTGGCGAAGGAATTATTCTTATTAACCCTTATTCACATGTCAAAAGGAAAGCTTTAGTAACTGAAAACATCAATTAAGTGTATGTGAATAAAATGCGTGTTTCTGACACAATCAGTGTTTCTGTTGGTTGTGGGGATGGAAGCCTTCACGCAGAGGGTAAGTTTTGACTTTGTTGGATATGAGAATATTCGTTTAATTACTTTGTACCGGCCAAAGTTCCAGAAGAATTTCATTCTTATCGTAACACATCTTTCTTTGAAATAGTTAAAAGTGTCGACAAAGACGAACCGTCTACAGATCACATCAAAGACGAGCTGAAAAATGATCTCGTAACACATCCTGGCTTTGATGTCTTGGATGCGGCTACCAAGGCAACTAGTAGGTCTACCGCTCATGCGTCAACTTCAAAACTGGAAAACGCGCTAAGGTACTTAATTAATGAAACTTATCTGGAAGATTGTTTTGGAGTTGATGTGATCATGGGAGTATAATCTCTTTGGACTTTTTTTGGTAGGATTATATGATTCCGGCATGTGTGTACCATATTTAATTCTTTTCCAGTTGTTATCGTACAGGTAATACCTATGACTACCAAAAGATTGCAACCCTGTCAATCATAAAAGCAAAAAATAAGGTTTTGAGAATTTTTTTTCTGACTATTCATTCGGACAGAAACTTGAACGTTAACGAATTATCAGCAGAAGATGACGACGAGAAGCTGTCGCCAAGCAGTCGATCAGCGGGCTACACTTGCCAGCGCCAGGACATCACATCCGACTTCCAGTACGACATGTCTCACAGAGCACGTGGCAAGGCGGTCATCGTCAACAACGTCAATTTCGCGCCAGAAACGGAGATGGGCGAACGAACGGGAAGCGAAAAAGACGCAGACGAGTTAGTCGATGCTGTGCGATCACTGGGCTTCAGCACAGAAAGATACAGCGACCTGACACGCCTTCAGCTCCTGCGCATTTTTCAAAATGGTGACCATTGCCAAATATTTCTCTCGGTCGGAATTGTATGTTCTTTTCACAGTCAGTGCGAAGGGAACGAGGACACCTCGCAGTACATGTGCATTACAGACCCTTTCCCCACCCAATGCCCATTACCAGTAACTTTTTTTTATCACTAATCTTCACTCAAGGCTTTATGTACCCCCTTCCTTGTTTGTGTGTTTGTTGTTTGCTCAACTGCTCGCTGGTTTGTTAATTTTGGTTTTTGTAGGCGCATCAGTTTGAAGACACGAATGTCTTTCTTGGCATATATTTCAGTGTCTGCAGAAGATCACAGCGATGTCGACTGTTTCATGTTCTCCATCATGTCACACGGTGCAGATGGAGGAGTAATATACTGTACGGACGGTGTCCTGTGCCTGGAAGAACTCATACATGAGTTGCGGGGAGATCGATGCAAAACACTCATTGGAAAACCCAAAATCTTTTTCATTCAGGTAAGCAAGTGTGGCATATAGGTCGACCCACGGAGTTGGAACTCAGATATTTTGTCCACAATCTCTTCTTTTGGGTTCAGTAGTCCACTCCGACGAAAAACAATGAAACTCGTTCGCAGTGAGGTACCGTATTACAACCAATGTTCAAGTATCGCTATTTTGAACTTCGGCTCGCATAGATCTTATTTAATCTGCCAAAATCACAATTTAATCATGCAATATCACTGCGGGCTTTCACATTTGCTGGGCTTTTGAAATCAACGATTAAGTTGCATAGGTGTACAGTTTTGACAGAAAACAGAACTTTGTCCATGGCCAGGTAGCAAAACGGAATTTCGAATTAATTTACAGGTGTCAACACATTAATCAATTACTAAGAATTACTAAGTCTCTTTGTTGATGAATAAACAGAAGTCTGTTTTTGGCAGGCTTGTCGAGGGGAACGTCTTGATTGCGGAGTTGAACTACCCAGTGAGGACATCACTGACGAAGTTGACAGCGGTGGAACACGTCTTAGTTCACTAGTCATTCCTTTGGAGGCGGATTTTCTTGTTGCGTATTCATCACCACCTGGTAAGTCAGGGGAGCGCTGATGTATTAACTCCGATAAATCAAAATTTAGATCGTGTATACAAGAAAGCTTTACAAGTTAGGGTAATAATGTACAGGATCTATAAATCTGACCAGACCATTTGTGCGAACTTCTGCACTGCAGCACAGACAACGTGGACGTGCCGTGTGACGTCATATCGATACAGGCAACCCAAACATTATTTTCAGTACCTTTTGGGGCGTGATTTGGGATAAAACTCGTATGCACTAAATCTGATGGCAAAGCTATTCCAAGAGAAATACATGCAACTCAGAAGAGAGTCATTGCTGAATGTCCACATCGCGTAACCACAACAACCAATTACTGTTTAAACGAATTGTCACATTGTCTTATTCCCACAGGTTTGAACAAAAGGAATACATTTCAATGCAAGTTTTCATTACCGAAGTACAGCTGAAAGCGGGTTATCAATTGGTAATTGTTTTTGGCTGTTGAATACTCTCTTTTGTGGACAGGTTACTTCTCCTGGCGAAATGTCTCTTCGGGAGCATGGTTCATTCAAGCTTTGATCAAGGTACTGAAGGATCACGGAAATTCCCTGGAAATCAACCAGCTTCTGACCAGGGTAAACCACGAAGTCGCCTACAGAAACATCTCCAACTCCAGCATGCCCGACTTTAACAAGAAGAAACAAATGCCATACTACACGTCCACGTTGACTAAAGAACTTTACTTCGCTTCTCACAAAAATTGAATCTTATTCTCTCCAACGTTTTTTGTGCCATTCGGAATCATGAGTGGTCCCAGTCAGAGTTGGCAGCAGGACATTTTTGCAAGTCCATGTCCAGTCACAAGTCAACGGCTGGTAAACACAGGTCAAGCCAAAAGTCACATCATTAGCGACCCGAATCCGACTCAGTCTAAGTCCCATGACTCAAGTCAACAACTCTGGTCCCGGCCTGCAGGTCAGTAGGGTTACCCCACAGAAAAAAATGTTGGAGGGGAAAGAGGAGGCCATTATTTAAAATATATTCAGATAAGTGTAATATTTAAATAACTCCACAGATTAAATAATTTGCAAAGAAATACATCAAATATTCTGATAAATAAATGAAACATTAAATTGCAGGAAGGCTCACAAAAGCATCTTTATACGATTTGAGGAATAAATCTTGACTTGCATTTTAGCAATTTGCTAAATTTTCCTGGAAAAGCATTCATGCATGGTTTAATGATCTAGAGAAAAGTGATTCTTATTGAAACATTTAAAAAAAACCTTATTTATGCCTTCTATAAACTATTGTGTTTAGGAAAATATTCTCAAGTAGTTTGTTGAATCGCAACCTGAAACTGGCGATCGTGTGGGACGGGAGGGATTGCCCCCCCCTCCCATGCACAAAGACACTTTTAGTTTAAGCGCTAACATTTTGGCAAAACATTGGGGCCTCTTTACGGGTGAAAACAAGATGGAAAATTGCTTTACAAAGTAGAAATCCACGTTAATTTACCCCCGACTAAAACATGTTTACAACTTCACTTTTTTCACTCCGTTCGAGAACAGGGGTTAGGTTTACTTAAAATAATTGAGGCATTTAAATATTTTTAGTTCTTTGTGCTTGTTCGTGAGGTCTAGGCCTACAATCGAGGAATTAATGGATAATCAATATTTATACGCCGTGCATTGCAGTTTCTGGTTCCATGTTAGTTGACGTTTCTTTCGTTTCCTTTCCAGTTTTTACAGTAACTACCAGTGAATATTTTGTATTACAAAGCGGCCGGTAGTGATCATAAATTGGACCTAATGTTGTTATTCTCACGGACTGTTGGTATCTTTGCCATTTTCCAAGGAATATAACAGGGAATAAATTGTCGCTAATGTCGCTAACAAACTGTCGCTAATACTGTGTGGTTTGTTTCTCACTTTCTGGCTCGGGACGTCTTAGCTCTAAACACTCTAAACATGCGCGACAGTTAATTTACTGAATCGACGCGGGAACAGGCAATTTACATTACATGTATTTCGATGTGTGCGAAGGGGGCACTGGGGCCAGTGACGTAGCACCCCCCCTCCCCACAAATTCCCGGTGGCCCCAAGGTATCCCTACTGGAAAAAAAAGGATGAGTGGGCATTCAACAAATCTGCCCCCAAAAGCATATCACCGAAAGCTGACCCCCCCAGATGCTGGTGTCCCCTTTGTGCCCCCCCCCGTAAATCCTAGCTACACCACTGCCGCGACTGGGTCTCAATTTCTGGAGGGAGACATTCAGTGGGTTCGGTCACACGAGCAGATATTTTCGTTCTCTTATTTCTGAGCGCCGGGCAAACAGGATGGGGGAACATGCCTCGAGTGGGTTCGTGCCCCGTCCCTCCATACACACGATGTACACTCCTCGCTATTTTGGTCGTACTCGTGCTGCTCACACACATGAAACAGTTTGTATACTTTTATAAACGGAAATAACTTAATTTTCTATTACAGTCTCCGATTTCTCAAATAAATTTGCGATGTGTTCACAGGTCAACATTGAAGTCGCTTTCACCGTAGACCTGGGCCGTTTTCCAATACTCAACTTCGGCTCCGTCTCAGGCTTCAACTGTTTTTTTACTACCTGACTTTGAAGCTGTAAGCGCACTAATTAGTCTAATAGTGCCACAAAACATCATATAAGATGCAAGAGAGCAAAAAATTACAGTAATCTAAATTGATTTAAACGCTTCAGGCCCACAATCGGGGATTGGTTTCGGGGACGAAGCCTGAACGGAGACGAAGTTGAGTATTGGAAAACGGCCCTGGAGGAATATCCTCCAGGTATTCAAGTTGCTCAGTTGACTTTTTGAGAATGCCACGTGTATCGGTTCCCTGATAGTGTGCCTGATATCCTGCCCAGACATTCCCATTGTAAATACCAGCTGGTTTACCAGTGAAGTAAATAGTCGGGTGCATTCTTCCGATTGAGTGCGCCTTAAAGCCGTATCCAAAACAGGCATTGTCAACTACGGCTATGTCAACCTACCGCAGTGTGCCAATGACGAAATTCAAAGCCTTAGCCTGATTGGGATCCGTGCACAGGGACGACTGATGATGAAGACTAGCTAACGTACATGTACATGTCACACTGGATTTGACCTGAATAAAGAAGACCTTGTCGACGTGTATCGTGTATGTAGTGGTTGAAGTGATCGTTTGGAACAATTTATCTCATTTTCACCTCATGTAAACAAGACAATTTTGGGTGAGTACATCCAGTATAAGTAAGTTTGAATGTCAGTGCTGCCTCTGAAATCTGGTGATGTTCATATGTTCTTCCACTTAAGTTCCATGTTCCAACTGTCATGACTTAATTGCATGATGACTGTCATGACTAGACTGTCTGACTATTCCTACCTGACCGTACGCGTAGGCACAGTCATAACACAGTCATCCTGTCAATGTCATCATGGATGGACATTACAGGTTGCACTACACCAAATACGCGCCCATAGAAAACAATGCAAAATCAGACCGAAATAGCGCCGCTTGTTGACTCTCGGGAAGAGGTCGGCCTCCGGTTTTTCACTGGAAATTCAACAGAATTGTATGGCCAGAACTTCACTTTTCATTTCGGTTTTATCGGGGTTAGCCACCCAATTGCTTTTTTATTTGCCTTTCCCGGAAGATACCCCCAAAATAGCAGTAAAACTATGCGCACAGCTCTAAATGTAGCTGCCCGCCTCTATCCAAAATAGGCTCACAGGTCTACGTTGGGGCTTTTTGTGAAAGAAAGAAATGCCCAAACTGAAANAAGCTGGTAACCCCCCCCCCAGATGCTGGGGCCCCCTTTGTGGCCCCCCCCCCCCGTAAAATCCTAGTACACCACTGCCGCGACTGGGTCTCAATTTCTGGAGGGAGACACTCAGTGGGTTCGGTAACACGATCAGATATTTTCGTTCTCTGGGGGGACATGCCTCGAGTGGGGTCCGTGCCCCCTCCCTCCAGTTACACACGATGTACACTCCTCGCTATTTTAGTCGTACTCGTGCTGCTCACACACATGCAAAAACACAAGAAACAGTTTGTATACTTTTATAAACGGAAATAACTTCATTTTCAATGACAGTCTCCGATTTCTCAAATAAATTTGCGATGTGTTCAGATCGAGGTCAACATTGAAGTCGCTTTCACCGTAGACCTGGGCCGTTTTCCAATACTCAACTTCGGCTCCGTACGAGGCTTCAACTGTTTTTTTACTACCTGACTTTGAAGCTGTAAGCGCACTAATTAGTCTAATAGTGCCACAAAACATCATATAAGATGCAAGAGAGCAAAAAATTACGTAATCCAAATTGATTTAAACGCTTCAGGCCCACCATCGGGGATTGGTTTTGGGGACGAAGCCTGAACGGAGACGAAGTTGAGTATTGGAAAACGGCCCTGGAGGAATATCCTCCAGGTATTCAAGTTGCTCAGTTGACTTTTTGAGAATGCCACGTGTATCGGTTCCCTGATAGTGTGCCTGATATCCTGCCCAGACATTCCCGTAGTAAATACCAGCTGGTTTACCAGTGAAGTAAATAGTCGGGTGCATTCTTCCGATTGAATAAATGCGGTGCGCCTTAAAGCCGTATCCAAAACAGGCATTGTCAACTACGGCTATGTCAACCTACCGCAGTGTGCCAATGACGAAATTCAAAGCCTTATGATGACTGATGATGAAGACTAGCTAACGTACATGTACATGTCACACTGAATTTGACCTGAATAAAAAAGACCTTGTCGACGTGTATCGTGTAGTGGTTGAAGTGGTCGTTTGGAACAATTTATCTCATATTCACCTCATGTAAACAAGACAATTTTTGGTGAGTACATCCAGTATAAGTAAGTTTGAATGTCAGTGCTGCCTCTGAAATCTGGTGATGTTCATATGTTCTTCCACTGAAGTTCCATGTTCCAACTGTCATGACTTAATTGCATGATGACTGTCATGACTAGACTGTCTGACTATTCCTACCTCCATGGTCTGACCGTACGCGTAGGCACAGTCATAACACAGTCATCATGTCAATATCATCATGGATGGACATTACAGGTTGGACTACACCAAATACGCGCTTATAGAAAACAGTGCAAAATCAGACCGAAATAGCGCCGCTTGTTGACTCTCGGGAAGAGGATGGCCTCCGGTTTTTCACTGGAAATTCAACAGAATTGTATGGCCAGAACTTCACTTTTCATTTCGGTTTTATCAGGGTTAGCCACCCAATTGCTTTTTATTTGCCTTTCCCCGAAGATACCCCCAAAATAGCAGTAAAACTATGCGCTCAGCGCTAAATGTAGCTGCCCGCCTCTATCCAAAATAGGCCCACAGGTCTACGTTGGGGCTGTTTGTGAAAGAAAGAAATGCCCAAACTGTAACTACGGTCCCAAATTCATGATTTAGGCTTACAGAACTAGGGATGATACTCCTGCTTACGGCATGTCTTATTGTAAAAACCCCGTGGTATCACAAAATATTAATAAGCTCGCACGCAGAAATCCAGCGATTTGGTGGAATGCACCCTGCATTGGATTCAGTCTCTCAGTCTGGTCATAAGCCTGCCATTCACGCTAGTTTGAGCACAGCTTGAATAACTCCCGCCAAGCACATTAGGAAAATATCCAGATCATGCCAGTGTTATGAGCATCTGAAGTTCCTCAAGCTTTCATATCTTTATTGATGATTGGCTTGGCCTACTAACATATAGGCCAAACTGAAAAAAAAAATTAGTCTGAGTGACTTGGACTCTGCATGTCCATTTAGATCCGGTATGGAAAGGACCCGACCCTACCCAGTCCGGAATTACACCAGGCCAGTATTCAGCCTGCCCTAGTCTGGTACACAGGCTTGTCTGACCTGTGGCCTTTGAAGTCAGTGAGGCGCATCAGTTTATTACCCCTAAGAAAGCAGCAAGAGCTGAACAAAAGAAAACTTTAATACCGGATTGAAGCCCATAAAGCAAGAGTTGACCGAAGTGTTAATTCCTGCTGCTGGCTCAGATGGATTTGATTGTTTTGACTATTAACTGTGTGTACATTTTGAACGGGACTGAAGAAATATGCTCATCTTAAGCACGATCTCGTCTCAAGCATGCTTGACTGTATACATGTTTGTTTGTTTTTTTTTAGAAAAATGCACTAAAAAAGAAAATTGCATCAAAATGGGGCAGGGGATGATGTGATTCTACAAAATCAATATAAAATGGCCTTATTTATAGGCTTACTTGTAGAAACGGATTCCTGTGTTTGTATATAGTCACCAGGTTCCCATCTTGATCCCCTTTTGTAAAGTCTGGTTGGCTCAGTGAATGGCAAAATTAGGGCTCTGGATGTTAGAATGCACCCGGTGGGTGCCTTCGTTTGTAGCGTTCTATTTGAGAGGTTGTAACGTTATGGGAGTTTGAATCCAGTTGCCTCACCTCTGTGTTTTGATGTACAGATTACTTAATCTAGAATTTCATTTGTTTTCAAATCGGAGCTTCCTATCCAGCCATCACCTTGAACCTTTTGCATAAAGACCTATGCCCATGATCAATGGAGTTGTTTTTAACTAAATGCAAAGTATATGTGCAGTGCACTTGTAAGGTAGAATTTGCCGTGTTTGGTTGCAACTGGCGAGTTCGTGATGGCTTGATAGGGCACTTCTGCTGAAAATAATCCAAGAATGTATGTTTCTTGCTTTGTTTTGAAATCCTGTGTCTGATCATCTTTTCCTAGACCAGTTTAATACACATGCATCATCTTCTTCAAGTCGTCACCTTCCCAACCCTGGTTACCCATTCACAACAGAGCAGTCCTAACTTCTAAGTCCACCATTGCCTCCGATGAAACCTCACGGGATCCATACAGTCCTCACAGTAACATTATAGCTGGCAACAACCAGCTCACGGATACCGGTGACAAGAAAGAGATGGCCAATCTAGTGCCTTGGAATGCTGTCATTAACCTCGGCAATAGCATCATTGGGGTCAGCATATTAGCAATGCCATGGTGCTTCCGAGAGGTAAATTTAAAAAAAAAAATCTCAAAATTTTGTAGTTTAACTCTAGACTTGGGGTAACAAACGTGATGAGGTATTTGTTCTTTTGTGGAGTAGTAATGCAATTGATGCTAGCTTCTATCTGAAGAACAATTGGTAGTTAAAATAAAAGAAGAAATTAATGACCAGCAAAACTTGGCACCAGATTGTGGTATATGTATCTTGGATCAGTTAAAATTGTTCTGTATTATTGTCATATCCACATTCAAGTTTTGTTTGATACAGTTCCAGTTTGTGTCTTTATTTCAGTGTGGCGTAGTTCTCGGCATTGCTTTGTTGTTGTGTGGAGGGTTCATGACAAAAACCTCGTGCTACTTGCTTCTTCGTGCATCCAAGGTCAGCAGAAGGCACTCGTATGAGTTTTTAGGTAAGACAGGTTGTTGTGACACATCAGTAGAAGGTGATTTGCTTTTTGATATTGAGGGGGTCAGGTTACTCATACTGTCTCACTGCCGGGTTTGGGTTTAGATTTTAGTGCCTTTTTCATGTTTAAGCTGACCGTGATGAATTTGATTGAAACTTGGTGTGAACATAGACACATCTATGCCTCATACATATGCGGAGTTTTATCTCTATTAAGCATTTGTCAGTTGTGGTTATGAGTTTGTCAGTCCATAGATCAGTGCTCCTTTTTTCTGTATGATCAGTGAAAGAAAGCAGTTGTTGGCATCTCATCTCCAATAATCAATTTGAGAAGTAAAATGTAAAAATTTATTTGAGTGGCATTTGCCGTTTTATTTCTCAGCACATCATGCACTTGGAGTAGCGGGCAAGATGCTGGTGGAATTGTCGTAAGTGTTCAAACTCTCTTTTTTTTTTATTTTGTGAATAAATTTTCCGTCTGTGAAGTAAATTGTGCTATACCGGCTTCTGGGATACAAATTGTCACCAATTCTCCTGAATCATTTGAAATCTATTTCCTCGTCGGAAACTAACGGCACCTTCTTTGTAGCAAAGCGTTCAACAGCTAGTTAAAGAAAAAATTCTTCAAATCTGGGAGAGAAAAAAAAACCTTTCCTAACCTCCACGTGGCGTTTGAAATGTCTCAGACGGTTAGGTTGGTATTCTTTTCAGATCTAAGGTGTTTGTACCTGCTCAAGAGTGTAAGGGTCCAAAGATGTTCATCACACTTGTATGACAAGTGGGAGAGGGGGGTTTCTTTTGAGGTGTGTTTGGTAGCAAGGAGTCACTTTCAACACAAGATGTCTTTATTGTTGTTGCATTTTAGCATTATTGGGCTGTTGATGTGCACCTGTATAGCCTTCTTTGTTATCATCGGGGATCTAGCCCCTTCCATTGTGGCCAGGTGGCTCGGTTTACAGGTGAGTTCCCCCCCTCCCCGATCTTGTCCTCCATAACCCAATGGCTTGGAGGTACATGTATTTTGGAGGATGTGGTACGTGTGACAGTGATGGCAAATCAAATGTCGACCTTGGCCTCTGTTTCTTTAGTGCCTAGAACCATTTGAATAGCGTCTCACGTATTGTTGATGAAAAACATCATGATTTACATGTATAATTCCTTGGTCACTTTTTGCTCCTTTATTTTTTCTTTTTATGACTTAAGTCTGTTTCCTTCCTTGAAATTTTTGGGTTTAAAACATATACATTTACATGTGCTTTTACAGATATTACAAATTTGCCTCTAAATTCTGTTCAATCAACTAGTTTATTTATTTGATGTAACTCAGACTACTGTGTAAACATTTTATCTTATTTATTGAAGTTATCATTCCGGGTTCCAGGTCTTGTGCAACCATATGCTTTTTACCTGGATCCCTCATCTCATTTTTTGCTTTACGTCATGTATATATTCTAGTTAGTTCTGTGTTACTTGAAAACTATACCATACCATGTACATGTAACTGCTGAGGTGGTATGGAAGAGGAGTCTTGAAGAGGAGAGAGATGTTGGTTGGTAGGGTGGGGCTGGGTAAGGTAGGTTGTGATGGGGAAGGGATAGAATTTGGACATACGTAGGTTCAAGGAGATAGTTACTTATGGGCATTGAACTTACCAACTGCTGTGTGAGTACTAGATGATATTACCATACCTCATACATATTCATGATCCCCCGCAGAATTCTCACTGGCCCATTCACCATCAAGTGTCGGTTGCTGTATTTACTGGTTACCAGACACAGAAGGATCCACACACAAGTCAAATTTACAAGTGCCTCGCCCATGCATTATGAAGGTCTCATGGAACTGTCACTTGGATGAAATATGCATGCATCGCCGCGTGATTGAAAGGATTACGGCACACGTTCATGTAGATCAGTATGATAAATGATGCCTGAAGTTGCAATGGCGACAAAGTGTTTTTCATATAGGCACAGGTGTATAACACGGCTTATTTGGTAGTCAATGTTACATGTAGCTCCTGATGGCATGAGAAAGCATTGGAAATTAACAAACTAGTGTCCCCAGTATCTACTCAGGAATGAGTTTGTAAAGTTCCAATACATCAGGGAGCGAACATTTGCTGTCCACCCTCCAACCGTATTGCATTTGTATAAAGGCCGGTTCATACAAATGCCAATTTGTGTCATCTGATCAAACATTCACGCTGCAAATTTGCAAAGTTGAACACATTTCAAATCGAGCGAAAGTTCGCTACAGATCTTTCTTGACATCATTTTCACTTCGCTCTCATGCTCGGCTGAAGTATGAACCGGCCTTCATCAAGTGACAGTTCTGAACCTTCCGACAGTTGGGAGATTGGAGGATGATTGAAGTACAAACTGCTCGACAGAGATGAGTGTTCAAATTTGCAGAGTTTTGTTTTGTTGTCTTTGCGTCCTTGCCTTTCGTGTTCTGGTTGGAGCGTCAAACACACGTTGTGCTTATTTGTCTATTTCAGAACTCCTGGCAATTGAGATGTTGTTTACTAGTCTTAGTGGCCGTGTTTATTGTTCTACCTCTTGGAATGAAGCGCAACATAGAGAGTCTTGGAAGCCTCAGCTTTATGTCCATATGCTTCTACCTTCTCTTTGCTGCTGACGTAAGTAGTGTTAGTTCTTTCAGGAGGTAGCCCTCAGTGCCCTTCAAGGAATACACATAGACTAAATTTGCAGTAAAAGGGGAGTCAGGTTGACATGTTGTTACTTCCCTGAACTTCCACCTCTGTGACAGGGGTTCGAATCCAGTCCTGGCCGACGTGTTGGTTGGGGTTTTTTCAGTCCCTTCCTGAATTGGGGAGTTTTGCCTAGAATTCATATCTGGAGTATTCCCCCCCCACTGTAAAATCTGAAGACTTTCCTCATCTTACTAGGCGGTTGTGATGGACATAAAGCCACACACCCTGGCATTACCCAGGTTCATGGTAGCCCGTTGAAAATCCTCCTAGAGATGACAGGGCCACCTTTAATAAATAAACTCAAAATGCTGCAATGTTTTGTCTCTTTGTGAATATGTTTATCGCACTAGGCCATGAATGAAAATAGATAAAACACAAACTGTTGTGGATACTATATATCTGAATTTTTGATTAACATACTCTGTAATCATGGACAGAACATTTACCATTTAAAAATGGATCTCCCTCATTAAAAATGATGACAAATTAAAATGTGTTTAGGTTTGTCATCGATCTTAATTTTAATTTTTAATTTGGAAATAACTACTTGATTGAATGCCCATGTATTGAGACAAATACTTCAACTTTGAACATTGTGATCTTGCAATCACGATATTGTTTCTGTGCCATGAAAATTGCTATTGCAGTACCCCTAATGGCCCATCTATACTCTTTCCAGACATCTGAATATTTTGTGTGGGAATGTAATCATGCCTCTCCATGGCCACAACATTGTCAAAAAACTAACCAAGATGTAATGATAACAGAACTGACAGGTTGTTTTTCTTCTTCGAATTGCTTTGGAGTAAGTTTCAATTGAAAAAAAATTATTTTACTGTCCCCAACTATAAGTGCAATGTAAGTTCATTTGTTGTGAGTTCTTAATAGTTTTAAAGTTTGTGGAAAATGTATAGTATGATTTTTGTATCGTTACCCTCGGAAATATATATATATTTACTATCCTGTACTTATCCAGTAATATGATATATTATTCCCAGTTTATCGTAGTATTCTGTTGAGTAGAAAGTTCAAGTATTTTAATTAGTGATGTCAGTTGTCCACAGGTTAAATATGCTGGTATTCCGAATTGACTTTAAGTTTGTTGCAGTTGTTTTAATACACACTGGACAGCAAAAGAAACTTGCCACTTCTGTCAAGGGTCACACATAAAAATCCACTGCATAGAAATAAACAATTTTTGTACACAGGTATGCTGCAATACCCCTTACTAATCACATGCCCAAAAGCAAGTGATTGTCTTTATAACAAAGAAGAAATTGACTTGCACAGCAACTTGGTTACTGAATCAAAAGTCACAGAATGTAACAGAATGAGCCCTAAGTTTTACGCCGGAATCAATGTCACAGGACGAAATAAAGAAGTCACAATCATTACTTTTCAATAATGTGTATGCATAGTCAGTAAGGATGGCATCCCTATACAGAAACCACTCATGCATATCATTTTGACAAAACAGGTGTTCGCTTTGCCATTGATTGTTTAAAATGCTGTCCATTCATGGGTCATTTTTGCTTGGTAGAGAGTGCTTTTGTGTGTGGCGTTTGATTCAGTAACCAAATTGCTGTGCATGTCAATTTACCATTCTAGTTGCTAGATTAACTTTTCCTACCTTTAAATGTACCAAAATTCAACATCAAACTTTGCAACAATTTGATAGATGAAGGAACTTATGGTCCAGCTGCTGTTACTTTTTATGTTCTTTTATTTTCACATGGAGGAAGGACAATTGGTTTACAGCACAGAGTTAAACTTCACCATATTCACGGAGGGTTTCAATCCAAGTTCAGCTCCAAGCATGGTGTTACAAAATTACAAAGCATATTTTTAATGTAATTTGTCCCCTCCCCCCAAAAAAATTACATTCAAAGCATTCAGGAGGAATTTGAGCCAAATGTAAAGGAACCAATATTGAGATTTAATTTATCAATAGGTCTATAAACCAGCTTGAAATTAATATTGATCTGCGTTATCTTGGCCTCCAGATGTCAGAGAGTCAACATCGGTTTGTTTATTTTGGGTGTTAAACCTCCTGTACTGGAGTTTAGAGGATGAATGAATTGTTTGATCCTGGATGGTTATTGATTTATTATTTTTAAACCAAAATATGCTTTGGCCAAATTCATTATTTCATCCACAAATGATGTGGTTGCACAATGATTCACCGATAATAATTGGCGTGAAGAAGGGGTCCATTTTGCTTTGAATTTTTCAGGCTGCTACTTAAACATCTCAGTTCGGCCTAAATATGTGAATAATGTGGAAGAATGAGACGGAATACTCTTGTTCCATGGGGTGGAAAGTTGGATTTTTTTCTGGCACATGAATTGCTTGCAGTTTTCGTACATGAATGTGTTGTTACTTTCTATGTTCTCATCCAGATCCTTTGGGATAGCTTACCCAGTCTACTGTCTCTCAAGTGGATGGAGACGATGGATCTTTGGCGGTTGCCAGGGTTACTGAAAGGACTCTCCATCTTCTCAATGTCTCTCTGCTGTCAGACGTAAGTCAGCCCATGAAAAGTAACCGTTACCCCCCTCCAACAGAGATGGCAAAATTTCTGGCTTGAATGAAGTAAGACAAAGGTAACTTTGGAAGTCAAAATCATGTCCCTTCCTTCCCAAAATGTATAAAAGCCAACAAATTAAGCAATGTTGCATAAAGAAATTTCCAAATATTTATCCCAAGAAAAAATTAGCCATGAAATGTTGCATAAAGAAATTTCCAAATATTTTATCCCAAGAAAAAATTTGCCCCCCCGCCCTGATACAGTTTGATTCTTCATCTGTCCTTGAAACTCTAGTTGCATGTACATGGGTGCTGATACGAACCTATACGTAAGTGCAGCGAGTGTAACCCGTATTTTTTCTGTGTCTCCCCACCTTTTCAGGACCCTGTTCGTAGTCTACGATTCCTTACAAGAGAAAACAGTGAAACAGATGGAAGCTGTGGTGTCCAAGTCAGTCAACATGGTCGCCAGCATCTACATCCTGGTGAGTGAAAGGGGCTGGTAGACTCCATCTTACGAGTCGTCCAGCAACTGTTGTTGCGCACCTCTGTCCCTGAGTAATCGGTGAAGAATGCAACTTTGGCTTAATGACTGACAATCTTTAACTTGATTTCAATTTCAACTTTTTTTTTCTGCATCCCTAATTCACTGGGTCCATTTACCATGATGCAACCTGAGAGCATTTTCAAAACGACCGGATTTGGCTTAGACTTTGGTGTTGCTGGTTCCAGCCATTTTGAAGCAGTGTTCGAAACTGGGTCATTCCATGAGGTTGGGGCACCATTTGTGACAGTGTCAATTGTTACATGGGTTCTGTAAAAATAAACAGCTAATTCCCTGCATGTGGATTCCAAATTGTTATACATCTTGCTAGGCTGAATACAGAGGTGTGTGTTATTTTTACAGTGTAAATGACCTACTCTACAGGTCATGACAGGTGGTAAAAGTTACCCATGTAACAAGGACACCGTCACAAATTGTGCCCCAACCTCATGGAATGACTCAACTACATGTTCATGCCCTGACTGAAGTCTAAGCCGTATCCACTAGTTTTGGTTATCCACGTTAATGGTCAAGCAGAATCCTCCAACTGCCTCCATGTAAAAATTGGATAAAGCCTTATCCTCCAAAGTTCTCTGTGATTTCTTGAATTGATTCCTTGAAGGGTGACTGCTGCCCCAATCCTTCAAAATCCTCCAGCGATTCCTGTCGTTACACTGAGGCAGTGTGAATGATATCCTAGAGCCGTTGGGATAATTGTAAGTGTAATCTAGACCCACACAAGGTCTGTCCCAAGATGCTGACCCAGTGCATCCTTCACAGTCAGGCACTTTAGTTTTCCTTGGCGGCGTCAGTCCTTCAGAATCTTGCACTTGGTGCCAGGAGGATTTTGAAGGATTGGGAAAGGTTTCGGGTAGTAATGAAATATAGGATCTTTTTGTCAAAATGTGCTGACTGCAGAATTCTCGGGAAACGTAGAGAGACACAGAGACGACAATGGAGGAGAAAAAACTTCTGTTGAGAGCTGAGAAGAAAAGCAAGAAGTAATCATTTCATATGGGACAAAAAATTATTTTCACTGATATTGATAAATCTGCTTGGATTTGTAGGTTGGCTTCTTTGGGTATGTGTGTTACTACCAAGACGGCGTTAAAGGCGACATTCTACTCAACTTTCATCCCTCGCTCGTGTCGGAGATCTTGAGGATAGGTTTTACGGTGTCAGTGGCACTGAGTTTCCCCCTCTGCATTTTTCCCTGCAGGGCCAGTATTTATACACTTTTCTGCCATTCGGTAAGTTTAGGTCCAATTCCTTTTGTGCTTGTGTCTTGTGGTAATCCATCAGAATAGGTTATAGCCGTTTAAATGTTGAACAGAAGAATTGAGAACTGAAATACTGTTATTTTTGGAATACATGTATAGGCTTCACAGAGCATACATGTAAGCCACATCATGCAAATCTCTGTGAATTCAGGTTAAAGCTGAGCCCAATACTCGTACAATTATGGTATCTGCAGTGAACTACTGATTGTCAGCATGCTTAACCTCGAGTCTGTTAACAGTTAAAATCATTCTACAAGCAAGTCACACTGTTTTGTCACAGAGCTAAAAACAAAGATACCAGCTAATGGATAAATTTTGATATGATATTTGCACTTGGGCCATTCCATGAGGTTGGGGCACAATTTGTGACAGTGTCAATTGTTAGGTGGGTTCCGTAAAAATGAACAGCTATTTCCCTGCATGTGGATTCCAAATTGACATTGTTATACATCTTGCAAGGCCGAATACAGAGGTGTGTGTTATTTTTACAAAGTAAATGACCTACTCTACAGGTCATGACAGACAGTAAAAATTACCCATGTAACATGGACACCGTCACAAACTGTGCCCCAACCTCATGGAATGACCCATTTGGAAAAGATCACAGAAGTTGCCTCGTTCTTGAAACACTTTAAGACGTGAGAAGTGTTGCAGGTTAAAGAAATGAAAGCCAAAAAATGTCAGGAATTGAGAGCATTTTGCTGTAGGGACTAACTGAGTTTTACTAAAATGACCAATCATTTGTGTGGAATTCTCACATTCTAGGCCCACAGTCTTGAGAACCCCCATGGGGGCGGGGACTTCATACCTCCCACCAAGTTTAATCTCATTACTCTGATGATTGTGGCTGCAACTCTCGTGGTTGGAATAACAATACCTAATGGTGAGAGTGAGAAACAGTTCAGATACAGTGAAATCATTGTCTGTGTCCAACAAATATTCCAAACAGAGGGCCTGACGTTTCGATCCAAGCAGAATCTTTCTCAGAGGCAAAAGGACAAACTTAAAAGGTCTTTAAATTCTAGTTACATTTTGTAGTCAACACAATCACATATTTCAACATTAATGCATGTTTTCAACTGGAATCTCATACTCAAACACGGGTCTGCCCCCACAAAAGAGATGTTGTTGCTTTTTTAAAAAAAACAAAACGTGCTATCTCTGGAATGGATTGGATAGCATTTAATGCATTTGCTTCCCTCTGTCTCCAGTTGAGACGATTCTGGGGTTGACCGGTGCAACCATGGGATCTTTAATTGGCTTCATCATCCCAGCAATAATCTATCTACGTACCACAGGCGTACCCAACAAGACTACCGCCAAGGTGGGAACACTGTGCACCATACTCAGGCTAGCCTATCTGGCTCATAAAATAACATCTCTCTCTTTTTTTCTTTTTTTTTCCACCCAAAAATGCACAATGCAGGTGTTGTTTTCTTCGATACCTAGATTTAGAATCAGTTTCCTCTAGGTGGCAATGTCCTGTCAATTTGTGATGTATTGGAAGTAGGAAGAAACAACAATAAGGCTTAAATTTCACGCTGACTGTAGTTTGGTTCTTG